ACCCACTGGAACAGTATATATACGGCAGAAAGCAGAAGAAGTTCCCTTGAAAAGTTTGCTGTCTGAACTTCAAAGGTCTGTAATGTCACATCATCTTCTTCTAGCTGTGAAATCTGCTCTGCTCTCTGCTCTCCTCAGCCAATGGAGCCAGAAAGCCAACAACGAGCGTTTTAAAGAGTAATAAGTCTGACCTGAGGCTAATGTGGAGTCTCAGCCTCTCAGCTGGGCAGCTACACCCACCACTGACCTGTGATCAGATCCCAGCGAGGAGTCTCAGCCGTCCCAGCTCCTGTAACCTCCCACACTGCTCTCTAAGAAAAAAAGGGACCCAAATCGCTGCATTTCCTCCATCTCCTGTCCTGCTCGGGGAAATAAAATCAGCTGAGCTTTCGTGCGGTTGCCTCGGCTCAAAGCCGTCGAACGCTCCAATTACAGGAAGCATAAATCTCAGGGAGAGGAAATTGCAGAAGGCCAGGAGGGAGGCGAGGAAAGTGGAGGGCACAAGCTCTCCGGTGTAGTGGGTAATAAGAGCAGAGCACCAGCCGATGCCTCCTGGGAAATCAGGCCACTGCCCCTGCAGATGGAGTTGACCGCCACCACCAACGTAGCCGCTGTGGCGTTGCTATAAGTTTCCACAACTCATTTCTCAGGAGAGGAGACATAAAATCTGTCTGGCCTGCAGAGACATCCGAGTCCAGGGAATCTGCGGGGTGTTTGATGGGGAAAATGCTAACCTGTTAGTGCTTTAGCGTAGCTCTGATGGATGGCTGGTGAGCATCCAGCTGTGGAAGACCAGCAGCCTTTGGGAAATGAAACCTGATTCATTCCTCACACACGGCTCTGTAGATACGGAGCATATGGCCAAAGGTTTGTGTAAATACAGTCTCATCCTGTTTTTATGGTTTGCTACTTTTAATTATGTAATTAAAGTCAAATATTTTTGCACATTCAAGTATAAGAGCACATCTGCTCACATAGCCAGAACCTCAAAGCAATGGTTTTCCCAGTGAGGCGTTGGAAAGCCAGATCACCAACTGTTAGCACCAGCAGCAGCTCACTAATGGGAGCAGTGGGTTCAGCATCTGGAGGAAAGGCTGACTAAAGGTTACAGCAGCACAGTAATGATCATGGCTTCAGGATGGCTGTGGTGTGACGTGCTAATGTGGTATTAATTGTCCTGATGCAGTAAAACTCCATCTGTTAGATCTTAAGCTTTAAGTGGTCAGGATCTTCGTAAGTAATCAGGATACTGTCGGCCTTGTGCTGCAATCTGACTTCTTAAAGATAATGAGTGGTTTTAATGATCTACACAGGCTTTCAGAGTAAAACAGGCCTGGGAGGGGACAAGATGCCACAAAATATATAACAGAACCAAAGTGTCTGTCAGAACAAAGCCCAACATGGAGCGACCATCAAATGACCCACGCTAAATCAGATGCTACGGCTAAACTTCGGGCATCTTCTTTTTTTAAATGATTCAAAGCTGAGAGGTTTTCAGGTTTGTAAACAGAAATTAATATAATTGACTTACTAGATGACCACGAACACAGAAATCAGACTGAAAACAAGGACCAACTCAATAAAAACACCCGGCGCTGAGCTGGACGTCCACACTGAAGTCTTATTTGGACCAAGAGTGACACTTTAATGAAGGGTTAAAATATGTGGAGTGGCGGCGCCCCTGGGCTGCAGTTTCACTGTGAGGTTTTAAGCAGTTAAAGATGTGCTGCACATGAATAACGCCAATAAAAAGGCAGAGGAGAGCGAGGACTACAGTTTTTGGAGGCTTGTTTCATTTCTCAAAAATAAGAGCCAGAACTGCAGCACATTAAAAAGACTGGGAGGCTCGGGCATAGCAGGAAACCCTCGGACTAGAAAGTCAGTCGATACGTCATCAGAGAACAAGAGAAATTCAACAAACAAATAACCAACCTCAGTTTTTAAATGGCTAAGACACAAATAAGGGGCGAACAGAGCTCAGATCAAAGACACGACGAACAACTGGAAAGATTTTATTTCATGACTCAGGAAGATTATTTGCACTGAACTTCAGACATTCCTAAAAACGATGCGAGAACAGGAACAATAGTCCAGACTGAACTATTCTCCAGTAGTTACTGTTGTGATGTGCTCGGAAATAACTTTGAAGACTATAAGTGATGTCAGCATCTTAACGACCCAACGGTCAGAAAAACAAAGAAAGCGGAGGCTCTGTTGATTTAAATCGATATAACGTCAGAAGCTCTCACCGCCTGCATTCTCCCCGCTCGCTGTGAGCGATTAAACCGGCTGCCCTTTGTTTTGAACATGCGCGTTGGGCGTTGAAAATCAAGATTCAATCTTCTGTTCCAGGTTGTGTTGTTGCTGTTCGTCTGTGTGGGTGTTGGTTCTGATGCAGGAGGGCCACTTTAATAACTGATCAATGGATGTGACGGTGAGTCGGACTCCAACACATCCCTGAGGTTTACAGAGCTCGTCAAAGGTCATCAGAGCTGCAGCTATTTTATTTGATTTATTCAGCATGAACTGATTCTAACCACACATATAGATCCTTTCAATGTCAACAACATGAAGAGACGTTTCATTTCCCTGAAAATAAGATAACACAGCAGACCTGAGCTGTTAGAAAAGACAAGCTTTTAACTAGAAACTGTATAATATGAAGTATTTCAGGTGTTTCTCTGCACAAACATAGAACTCATCATATTTCAAACTCTGGCTTTTATAATGTGAATAAGTGCCTCACTTATACTTTTAATTACGCTCCAGCAGTCGGCCTTGCTGCCGCGTTTTCATGCCTTCCGAGTTCACTGTCATTATGTTTTTAATTGACTGAACATCAAACGCTGAGAGCTCGTCCTCGGCTTTTCCTCTGAACTCTGCACAACGTCATCAGTCACATTGATTTCAGAGAACGAGCCAGTTAATCAGCCGCAGATCAATTTTAATTACGAGTCGCTGAACGAGTCAGTAAAATCCTCCCAAACCTGGAGGGTTATGAAAGTCCAGGGTCAGAGACCGAGCAGTTACACTCAGCAGAGGCTCAAATGTGATCTATCAAATCTTTCAGCAACAAAGGTGATTTTTCCGCTGGGGTTACTCGTGTAGTAGCGTTCCAACAGCGCCCTGTTTTCACCCACCGTCTAGTTCCAGTAGCCCAGCTCTCATCAGGGTGTCCTGGTTGCTCAACACCTGATGTGGTCCTTGTTAATCTGGGCAGCGCACGTGTCTGAGGTAGGCTTGGTTAGCATGGTGGGGGGGGGCAGCTTAGGACCTTTACTGGATACTGACGCTCTGGTCGGGAAACGAGAATTGTGTGTATATATTAAAAAAACGTATAATTATCTGCTGCTAACTGTGGCTGTGAAAAATATTCTGAATAAACAAAGCGGCACAACCAGTGTCTTTGTCTCTCGTAAAAAGCAGTAAACTTTAATGGTTTTAGCTTGTATCTAATAAAAAGGTCTATAAAAAATTTGAAAGTTCTTCGATACTTTTTAAAAAATCCCTTTGTGTTAGAAAATGTCGGCTTTTTTAAAACTTCCTCTCGTAATGACGGTCACAGCAGACTAATTACAGCTTAAAAGTAGTTTTTCTACAAACATCTGCAAACTTGAATGAAAATATTCTGTTGGAGAGGATGTCACGAGTACGTGACTGCAGCGACATCTCTCTCTATTTAAGCCTCAAAGTTTAGTTTCAAACTGCTCTGAAATCTAAAATCGGGCAGTTTTCTGCTTCTTCTTCTTTCAGCTGCTTAGATCTTCCTCTTTTCCTCCAGCCTGGCAGCTCCATCTTCATCATCTTTCGTCTAATATATCCACCTTTCCTCCTCTGCACACATCCACATCATCTCCACCTCTGTCTCTTGAGTGAATCCAGTCCTTCCTGCTCACTCCCAGTGAAAGTCTTACTCTTAGCTCGGCCGCCTGTCTTTGTCAGTGCTACTGTCTCCAAATCACACATCACAGCAGAATCACAACTACCAGCTTTAAACCTTCCCGTCCACTCTGCTGCTGTGCTTCTATCACAAATCACCGCTGACACCTGCCTCCACCCACTCCACCCTGACTGTCCGTTGCTTTGGTGCCCAAATGTTTAAACTCTCTACCTTCATTATGTCGGCTCCTCTCAGCTTCACTGCTGCAGCCTTTTTCTACTCTTGGATTTATATGATGTCACAGAGAGGGGATATCCCTAATATGGTCATTACAGGCACAGAAGCCCCTCCTGCTGTTTAAAATCTTTTGAGTGAGGCAGCCAATCAGAAGATTGTTAGCATAATGGGAGTGGGAGGAGCTAAAACAGAGAGCATCTACTGGTGGACAGCATTAAGGCCCAAGATAAGATAAATAAGGATTATTGTGAACTGTAAATCACACAAAGCTCCTTTAGTAGAGTCCAAGAATAGAACAGGCCCACAACAAATGGAAACGTAGCAAATTTCTCATATTTTTTCTTGAAAAATAATCTGTGCAAACTGAAATGTGAAATTAGGTTTTAGTGTCAGAGCAGCAGAAGACTTGTTACTTGAACTGCTTTTTGCACTCACCTGCATCACTCGCAGCATTGATTGATTATATCAGGCGCTGAGTATATATATATTTAAAAGTTGGATGCTTTAAGACGGTGTGTATATCATGAGGTTGTATATGAGGTTGTTTCTCGACAGTTTCTCTTCGTAATTCCCTCTGTGCTGTTTTAAAAAAGCCATTACATCATGAGTGATGGAACAGAATGAAGACGAATGAAGGCGATGTTCAAATGAAGACGCCACGACTCTTAATATGAGGCGGCAGCTGAATGATTCCCTCAGATGACGCCTTAAACGGCGGAAGCCCTCATAGCCTGACTGATGTCCTCGCAGCTCGATATCAGTAAATGAGCCGTTATAATTCACTTTTCTGACGAACCCTCACTCTCAATCGGTCAGTCACCCGGACAGCGTTAATTCCCGTTTCCATTGCGTCAACACTGTGTACTTCCTGGCACACACTCACCGGTGGAGCAGGGCCCGTCGGACACCCGGGAGATGAGTCTCTGCTGCTTGCAGGACGCCTGTCGCCTGTAGCACTCGTTCTGGTAGGTGTCTCCGTTTGAGCCGCACACAGGGACGTAGTTTTTGTGACACTGGAAATCAAACACAATCAGATGTTAATTAAGCTTCAGTGTGACGACGGAGACGAACCATAGAGAGAGGGGGTCGCTTCACTCAGGGGGAGGAGTCAAAAACATGTAGATTGACGCTAGCACAACTATGCAAAACTATTAATTACATCAGCTATATACATTACAGGAATTATTGTTGGTTACAATAATAATGATGATCAATAAGGTCTAGTTTTACATTTTGGTTTTATTTTGCTCGTTTGAGTCAAGCTTTTATTGTTAAAACATGTTTAGATGCTTTAAGTTTTATCAGCGTTTATCAGTTTGAATGTTAGCTTTAGATTTTACTCGTTGTCATATGGACGACATTTCTCAGATTGTAAGTCACAAAGTTTAGAACAGAAATACAATAAAAACACTTAACACATGAGTTTCATAGGAGTCACGTGTGTGAGCACATTATAAGAGCAGAAGCTGTGGAAGTTTGCTGGTGTGGAACATTCAGGTGTGTTAACACAATTCCACAATTTTCCCAGCAAATTCACCCCAATCTCACACCGTCCAATGCTCAGAGAAACCCCCGAGTTTTGTGACAGCACGTTACAAAGCACGGAGGTGGAGAAGTGATGATTCGGGCACCGTACAGTTGACCTTGAACTCCTCTGCATATCGAAAGATTCTTGACTCAAATGTGAGGCCATCTGTCCCACAGCTAAAGCTTGGACCAAACTGGGTCATGCACGATGAAATGATCCAAAGCACAGCAACAAATCTACAACACGAGGGCTGAAACAGAAAAGGACCCAAGTTCTGCAGAGGCCCAGTCAATGTTCAGACCTCTGACCTCCTGACTGAGATGCTGTGGTGGGACTTAAAGAGAGATGTGCATGAAAGAACCTCAAAAAGCAACGCTGTGAACAAGTCTGGGCCAGAATTCTTGTATGACGATGAGAAACTATCACGATATGATCACCTCGAGTTACAGCAGCTAAATGAGATCCTACAAGCAGTTTTTCACAGAAACACACACAGTCCTGAATAAAACCCTTCAGATACAGAGTATTTTATTTATTTGTGTTACATCAGAGTCAGAGAAACGTTACTATGTTATCAAATGTAATTCGCTATATTATTCTGCAACACTGTTGCAATGTGGTTCTAGTTTTCTTCTTAACTGAGCGGCTCTCAGCATGTTTTCTTTGAAGGTCCTGAGCCTGAGCATCACCTCCTTTGGATGTTTGCACAGAAATGAGTTCACGACTTGAAATGAGTCCATGCAGTGCACGTTTAAAGGTAGAGAGGAGAAAGATGGCGTTATCAAGCCTGTGCTGTACATGTGTGATCAATATGGGTCAAATATGATGCAAGCTGTCAGGCACTTACAGAGTTTCATTCGCTCTCCATGGAGGTTATATAAACCCGCTCTGCTCACACTGTCAGCTATAAGCTACAGCTGCCAAGGACACATATCAGTGTTCAGCAATCCATATTCTATTAACTCTCACACATCAATCATTTAGCAGGAATCCCCTGCAGGTTTGACCTCCGTGACCTCCAACACACTGCAGAAGCAGTCCAGGTTCATATCCAACAGGAAGAGAGTCCGATGGAGTCGGCAGCTGAAATCCATGAAAGACAAAACAACCGATGAGCAGCATCCAACCTCCAGCTGAGAGGAGAACATTTTTCTGTCCTGTCAGGAGTCTTCCTGGTTTGCTCCGTCAGCATTTTGTGGTTTTGTTCTGCTGAAGTAAATTTGTTGTAACGTGTTTTTTTTCTTTCCATCAGACTTTCAGCTAGAGCTCATTATCAGCACTCATCAGCATGTTTGGCTTTCTTTGTTCAGTTTTAGTGACTGAAGCTCTTTTTCTGTTCAGAGAAGCAAACTCAGAAGTTTTAATGATCGGGAATTAGTCGGATCCCTGCTGGTTAGAGGAGAACAGAAGGCTTATTTCGGTGAAAATAGAACAGATTAGTCCTTTAAATGAAGGCAGGTGTGATGAGTTTCATTGGAGGTGGATGTTTGATTCTTTTGACTGCATGGCCCTGCCTGCAGGCAGGCAGGTGGAGCAGCTCCTATCAGACAGTGAAATAGCTTTAATGAGGATCTCTGTCATCTCACTAAAGCGTAACACACGTACAAATGTGTGTCTTGGACTGATTTACATTCACACATACACAAACCTGCACAGAAACCATAAAGTTTTAATGGTTTCAAGCTATTTCAAGGCTCCACGGGAGATAAATCCGCTGAAAACTGCTGACTCGCAGTGCAGAGTTAGATTTATTTATCTGCATTAAAGGGCCACTTCAGCTCTCAGACACTTTTTACTTTCACAGAGCTGATAATGCTGCGAGGTGAAGCACAGCCATTGTCAGAAACTATATTTGAAAAGGGAAAATTTAAATAGTGCCAGTTCTGCTCATCTCCAGCTCCATATTTTTACTCTTTTAGAGTAGCTTTGCATGACTAACAGCTAAAAATAATCCTTCTTTATCTCACAATGGTCCTCGGTGCAGAGCCTCAGTTCCCCCTCTGTCTGAAACAAGCCCCTCCCCTTTAGGCCAGCTTTGTACTGACTGGCTGACTGTCACAAACAGAAGGTTTGAAGAGCAGGTGGGTGGGGTTTCCAATCTATGACATCACCAAGATCCAAAAGTAGACGCAAAAGTGTTTTGAGCAGTCTGCAGCCTGAGCTTTAGGCACACGAGGAAGTTTAATATGAACATCCACTGCTGGAAGAGGATATGTATGACAGGAAATGACTTGCCTCCAAATAAAACTCACTTTGCAAACATCTGGATCATGCTCCCAGTTGACTTTGGGGAAGTTCTCGTCCATGAATATTCTTTGTGAAGATGCAGACGTAGAGAACTGAACACAGAGACGGGCACCTCCGCCTGCCCACAAGTAAAACTCACTGAAGCTTGAACCACTTTTCACATGGTTTGCTTCGGTGCTTTGTTTTCATATAAATTTTCAGATATAGAAATCTGAATCAACTGGGCCTCGATCCCCGCTGTTTGATCCCATTATAAAACCCCCAGAAGCGCCTCTTCCCCTACACTACATCTGCTCTTCCCTGCAGACACGAGAACACAGTGTGATGTTTTTTGCACCATCAACAAGCAACCTACAGGCTGTCCTTGAGGCCTTTTGTGGAGGCAGAACAGAAGATGGGAAACAGATGACAGTCAGGTCGTTATCAAAAGTATCCAGCGTGCTTGACCTTTCAAAGCCTTCCAATTACAATTACTGTTCATCTTGTTAGCAAGTCTAGTGGCAGAAAAATGAAAACAGAACGATTTAGCTGTGTGAGGTTTGCGGAGCAGCCAGAAAGGCTTTGCTTCTGCTAATAAGCGATTTTAGTGTTTATTTATTAATAAGCTTGCACTGTTTAATATTAAATGTAGATCCAAAGCTGCAGCAGGAAGTAGTAGACTTCTGCATGTTTGAACTACCTGTAACGGCTCTTTATTCTTCTTTTGTTTTGCCGCGATACACATTTGGACACTAGGGGGCAGTCACCTTTTAAATGACTGCATTTATAAAGAAAGGCTTGACATGATGATAACTATTTACAACAAATTAAAGGGTCATTCCATGAAAAATCACCCTGCTTGTACCATAACTTGTTTAACTCTGTTGTTTTGAGCCCTTGGAACTTCATCCATGCAGGAGATTTCCACGTGAAGTTCTCAGGGCTGAAAGACACCAAATAAATGTTACTGCGACTCCATCTGTGTCCTGATCTGAAGACAAAATCAAATCTCTGTTCAGCGTTATTTATACCTCTACTTTGAGCGTCACTATCATGGATACATGTCTGTGATGTGCAGCAACAGAAACAAGCTTCGGTACTCGGATGTTTGATCTTTTTTTCTCATCATTCGCCAGAAGTGCGTTTTGGATAAACCTTAAAGGATCGGAACGTCGTGTGGGATCAGTTGCTGCTACAGCACATGCAGGAACTTATTGTACCTGTGTTTGCGCACCAGGCTCATCTCCTAGTTTTATAATATAATCATATTTTAACACTTGTGAACATAACGAATGGCGGTGAGATGGAGAAACGGCACTGGTGGTCTCACACAGCATCACACTGATCAAATAACTTCAGGTCCTGAAGAAGCTTTCTGGGTGATGTCGGGGCTGCGGTGTGGACTTACACGAGTCTCATTCTGCAAGTTGTACTTGACTGTATTGCGCGCTTCAGGGCATGAACTGCATCATACTTTGCAGGTGGTCAGGGTGGGTGGTGGGTTTACAAAGGGCCGGGCTTTTCATCATGCAGTCAGTGTGGACTGGAAGGCTTTCAGGCTCTTCCTCCTGTTACAATCAGAGTTATAATTCAGGCTGTCGCTGCTTCTGTGTGCAGCTGAAGACTCCTCAGAGCCGCCGTCTCGCTCGGACAGCTGTGAAACTCCTCTGATCACGTCGAACGGCTGCGCTCGCTTCGCTCTGTCCTCTTTGTGTGCACATGAATGTGGGTTCTGCTTTCAGCTCACGGAGCGTGACGGCCAGCTTCAAACAGCCGCCGTGTGTCTTGTTATTGCGGTGAAGCTGCGGCTCTGTGGTGAATTCTGCTTCCAGGAGCTGCCCTTCACGCTGCCGCTGCTTTTATTTTGCAGCCGTTCGACTAAATATGCAGCGAATACAACAGGCTGACGGGAGAGTAATTATATTTTGTTTCATATCAGAGGAATACGCTGCAGGCGGGTCATGCTTCTTTATGTGTCAGAAAGAACTTCACGGTGTTTTTCCTCATTTTAGCTCCTAAAACTAACAAGAATTAACTGAGAAGAGACCGCAGACAGGCCGGCTGCTCGCAGGATTTTATTATTCACACACTGCTGCTGTGACTGCTCCATTTTCATATTAAAGAGGGAGGTGAACATGACATGCCTGTCTCATTTTCAGAGGTAGGGCGCCTGAGCTGCCAATGAGAGATAGTGCTTCCTTGTGCACTGATCAAAGTTAGCATTCTGGCTACCACCATGTTAGCTTTTTCAGAGCTAGAAGTGACCGGCGTGTGGACAAGAGGGTGGAATTATCAGCTAATGCTACCTAGCTTTGTTAGCGAATTTGTTTCATAAATGGGGTGCAAAATATAGACGCACATAAGTGTTACTAAAGCATGGAGTGTGCATTCCTGTCACACAGTGTTTACACCCCTCACCCCCAACTAATAGCTGCCCCTCCCTGAGCCTGGATTTGGTGGAGGATTAAAAGGGAGTTTTTCCTCCCCGTTTTCAATTCAATTCAATTTTATTTATATAGCGCCAAATCACAACATAAGTCGCCTCAAGGCGCTTCATAGATACAGAGAAAAACCCAACAATCATATGACCCCCTATGAGCAAGCACTTTGGCAACAGTGGGAAGGAAAAACTCCCTTTTAACAGGAAGAAACCTCCGGCAGAACCAGGCTCAGGGAGGGGCGGGGCCATCTGCTGTGATTGGTTGGGGTGAGAGAAGGAAGACAGGATAAAGACATGCTGTGGAAGAGAGACAGAGGTTAATAACAGATATGATTCAATGCAGAGAGGTCTGTTAATACATAGTGAGTGAGAAAGGTGACTGGAAAGGAAAAACTCAATGCATCATGGGAATCCCCGGCAGCCTATGTCTATTGCAGCATAACTAAGGGAGGATTCAGGGTCACCTGGTCCAGCCCTAACTATATGCTTTAGCAAAAAGGAAAGTTTTAAGCCTAATCTTAAAAGTAGAGATAGTGTCTGTCTCCCGAATCCAAACTGGAAGCTGGTTCCACAGAAGAGGGGCCTGAAAACTGAAGGCTCTGCCTCCCATTCTACTTTTAAATACTCTAGGAACAACAAGTAGGCCTGCAGAGCGAGAGCAAAGTGCTCTAATAGGGTGATATGGTACTACAAGGTCATTAAGATAAGATGGGGCCTGATTGTTTAAGACCTTGTATGTGAGGAGCAGGATTTTGAATTCTGGATTTAACAGGAAGCCAATGAATGTTGTCCCCAAAGCGCTTGCTCATAGGGGGTCATATGATCGTTGTGGTCTCTCTGTATTATACTGCATAGGGTCTTTATTTTACAAAACCCTGACACAGGAGCTGAGACGTGCATCTGGACATTCATCCCATCCACCTACTGTTAGACTACTTAAATGACAAGAAATGTTCAGCCTGTGTTAAGGAATAAAGGTGGTCACACCAAACATCAACGTTCAGGCTTGTTAGAATTGCACAAACTCTGTTTTTGCCTCATAAGCTGTATTTCTGTGCATGTTTGCATGTTTCAGTAAACTGCTGCAAACACTTCCTGTTTTCATGGCAACCTATAAAGACATGCGGGGTGGCAAGACGTTTGCACACAGCTTTCCAAATATTTACTAGAATACCGTATTTTTGCACCGTAAGGCACATTAAGCAAAACAAAACAGTCAGATAAGTCAAACTTTCCCATGTTGTTGCGGTATATTAATGACTAACCTCGTATTGTGGATGGATTATCTCAGTTGTTCTCCTGACTGAAGTTTGGTCCGTTTACAGCATCCTGTCATGCGATTGCATTTGTCCCTAACCATCGGGAACCCTCACGTTAACTTTTATGGAGTGGAAAAAAGTTAGCGTTCATCCTCCAGCTTCACTGTTTATGCTAACATAGCTGTGTCGCTAGCGACCACGTAGCACATCATTATATACCAGCTAGCCCAACTTCAGTAACCCTACAAACGTCACTGTTGTTTAGTTTCATGTCTTCACATTAAAATTTTTTCAGAAATCTCTCAGTCAGAACATGCTATATCATGTTTAGGTGGAAACTAGCGAGCTAACTCCATGCTAACTTCAAACTCCATTAAACTTAATAAATTCTGTTTTCATGGATGCCTGGATGTTAAACTTAATTGTTGCACCTTATTACAACGCTGATCATTTTATTAAAGATGAAAGAATTTAGACAGTTTCTAACTCTCAGTGATGTCGCAGTGTTCGTTTGTTTTTGGGACCTGAAGCGGACGGAGTTTAGGACCCAGATTACTCCGCGAGGCTCCTGACTACGATAGCTGTAATGCTCCGAAAATCCATCAGGCGGTGCGGCTTCGTAGCTTACCAAAGTTGTACAAAAACATTTTTTAACAGATTTTTGAGCGCCGTGTACCACATAAAATGGGTTTGAGGTCAGTAAGCACATCAGAATTCATACATAAGGCGCACCGGATTATAAGGCGCACGGTCGATTTTTGAGAAAATGAAAGGATTTAAAGTGCACCTTATAGTGCGGAAAATACAGTAATACACTTTATAGATAATATCAGCGAATGTTTCTGGAACCTTGTTAACATCAACTAATGGAACACAACTCTAACTTAAACATGTCATTGATGACCAGGTAAACATTTTATGTCCGATAAGATAAAAAAAAAATAAAAATGATGTCATCTACCTGGAACTGGCAGACACACTTGAGCTGAGCGCCGTCCTCTCTGCAGGTGCCCCCGAATCGGCAGGTGGAGTCATCACAGACCCTCAGGTCGCTCTTCTTCTCTGACAGATCTAACGGCAGAGACACAAACAAAGGCAGCGCGTTAAATACGGAGACAGACAACAGGCAGGCGGATCAATAAGGTGAGTCACACCTGCGGCACCTCCACGAGTGCTGCTGCTAAATCCCGACATCCCGGCTCTGATCACACGCTCAGTCCAGACAAGTTTATGAGTTTATGAACAATGAGAGCAGACGGCGAGCTGAGCTGCAGGAAAAATACGGACACGACAGAGATGATTGTTTATCAGCCCGAGCAGACACCTGGACTACAGGTGAGTGTTTACACCGGGGAAATAACAGATGGACTCGCAGAGCTGAGAAATCTGCTCTCCTCAGAGGGAAGAAAACTGGTGGGTGGTATCATCATTAATGCACAAAGCAGAAGTCACTTCTCATCTTCACCTGCCTGAGGAGCTGCTCACAATTACAGGAGTCTGACTGTACTCTGACTCACAGAGACGGTTCAGGTGGAAAAAAGCTCTCTCCCGGGGAATCGCTGGCTTCTTCGCTGTGATTTTTCCTCTTCAATCTAACGCGCTGGTTGAATCGGTTACTGTGGATTGGTGCTAAATAAATCAAGTGGTGTAACCTAACCATGAAAACCCTGCTGTATCCCAGTAAACCAGCCTGATACTATCGGTAGATCCAAGATAAACGGAATAATCTGGGATCAACCTATCCTGACAGTGTTTACATGGATAAACATGTAAACACTATGGCTCAGTTTTACAGGGATGGACAACAGTCGGTCTCGTCTTAGACTACAAACTGTTTTTAATAAAGATCCTTTCAGTTCGGTGCTAGGCTAATCCAAACCTGGTAGACTGGCTCATGGAGTTAGAACTCCAAGAGGTGCTACTGTATGACTTCAAAGGATAAAATAATAATAACAACAACAATAATAATAATAATAATAATAATAATACTAATAATAATAATAATAATAAGCCCCCAGCTTTGCATGGTGCACAGTCAAAATAAGCCTCAGAAGGATTGTTAGCAGGTGGGAGGGACTTCTGTGAGGCAACGGCTAATTTAGGGGATATGTGAACCAAACTTTGGCCTAATAGCCAATAAAAAGGTACGATAGTTTACAATGAAATAAACAAGGAGCCTAAAAATACATAAATTATAATGAGTCAATAAAATCCTCATCAGGAAGCTTGTTTGTTTTATTTTATTTATTGAATGTTTAGTTACATTAAAAAGAAATTCAAAATAAAAATCTTTATAATTTAATGCACGACATGGTTTTTAGGCTCATTTCTTGCTCCATGTTTTTATTCTCGGACTCTGAAGCTTCTGATGACTCGTTTTATCCTCTCGGTTCATCCGTCTGAAACAAGCCCTTCTACCTCCATCTCTTCAACATCCTTGTTATTTGCCTCCCCTCTCACACAAAAGGTTTTAATTTCAGAAGCCCCGCCCCCATTAGTAGTAGAAAACACACCTATATGATACTGAGTGTTGAAACTTGTTGAAACATCAGAGCGCCGCTCTCAGGCTGAATGCTGCGGGGACAAACTCACAGCTGATCCTGAATCAGTTTGGCTCTTTAAACTTTCACTCACGATCAGTTCATGAAATGTCACAAGGCGACTTATTTATGGGCATTTTTATCTGCGAGACTTCTAGAGCCGACACACACACACACACACACACACACACACACACACACACACACACACACACACACACACACACACACACACACACACACAGATAATAACAGGCCTACACGGCTCAGAAATGTGCTGTGAACTTGAATAATCCACATTTCCTTTGAGATTCCTGCAGCAGATTCCCGCCTCGGTGCCGGCACGAGCGCTGCCGAGTGGCTTTGAGAAGCCGTGTAATGGCCTGTAATTACTGTTTGCAAACCTCCCTGAGTCCCAAAAATGGCCGCCGCTGGCCGCAGTAACAGCCAACCCTGGAGCTCAGCAGCGTCTCAGAGACGGGCGATGTGAGACTCCAGCTGAGAAAATAACACTCAGACTCAACGAGCAAGAAAACAAAAGAGTAACAGGCGAGTTTGGAAGAAGTCGTTCAAGGTAACAACAGCCGAGTTTTAAAATGAATGTTATGGTGTCTGATGTGAAAATCCTCTTACGTGTTTCAGCCAAGGACCACGCGCAAACAGATGCTGTTTAAGAAATATCACAAACATTCACCGATGCTGAACGTGTGAAGCTTACACATGTGATCGGTTACTGATTTCAGTTTTCCTCACCGTGAACCTCACGCTGAGCCAAACAGCTGAGGAGTCTCACCTGTTTGATCTGAGAGTTAATCATCAGGATGCTGATTAGTGAACGTGAACGTCACATCATCAGAGACGCGCAAACAAAACATCAGATTTCACTTTCAGGGGTGAATTTGTGACAGAGAAAGAAAAATAAACTGCGGTTAAAGTTAAAAAGGTTAAAAAGAGCCAAACGGGACAGGCAAAAAAGAAGAAAAAAAAAAAAGTTAAAAAGGTTAGTAAAAATCCAAAAATGTGGTAAAAGTAATGAGAAGTAAAAACATGAGAGGAAACAATACAAATAACAAACACCGAGAGCGTCAAAGACTTTTAACAAGTCAAAATCTTTTAAAAATAAAGTCAGAAAAATTGTGCAAAAAATTTTTTAAATATGAGAAAATCTTAAATCTGAGATTAAAAGTATTAATCTCATATTAAAATTACTGGAAAAGAAAAAATGTCAAAAAAACTAGAACAATATAAAATATGAATATAACACAATGAGCCAAAAATAACATTAGAAACAGAATCTCAAATATGACAGAAGTTATTCAAAAATTCAAAAAAGTAAATACGGGAAAAAATGAAATAGCAAATGAAACACGTGAGACATAAAAAAAATACAGAAAATGTGAGATATGAAGTTTAAATTCTGACAGTAAACGTTCAGAGCTGCAGAGCCAACCATCGTTAAATATCCCAGAGTCGCATCATCGTTTATCCTAATGCCATCCGATCGTCCGGCTGCTCCAGTTTCCTCCACTTATTGATCTCATTTCTCAAATCTCAGGTGTCACCTTCTCGATTTTGACGTCTCTGTGAGAAATAATGGACAAACCCAGGAGAATCAGAGCAAATGAGCCAGTTCAGCAGCCTCGTGTAGGTCTGCAGGCCAGTCGTGGCTAATTAAGTCCAAGCAGCAGCCACATCCATCAGCCTGGAGGCCGACTGCTGATCAGCTGTGTGTGTGTGTGTGTGTGTGTGTGTGTGT